TTTCCTTGACATGCTGAAGCTAGAAAAGGGAGGCATTAAAAACAGAGCCCTCCGCAGCGTAAAGCTGTCCACCAGCTTGGGACGCAGAGTCCCCTTTTGGGTTGTCATCGGGGCATTCGAGGGGTGTAATGCTGCTGCTTGTATGCGAGTTGGCCTGCGTCAGCTTGTCATCTGCTTTAAGCAGGACCTGTCTCCGAGACTGCAGGGCTGAGGCCCCCGGGGAGGGAAGAAATCAAGCCACAGATTGCCTCCATTCTCAGTGCCAGCAGTGGCAAAATGAGGATGCTAATAAACAGCTCGGTGAGGAGCTCACAGTCCATTACGAGTACTGATTAATTAAGCCTTCTGAGCTGGCTGCGAGACAACGTAGCTGTACTTCCAGTTCACGTAGACTCAAGCGGTGACATGCCTCGTCCCAAGTCACACGGGAAGCCCCACATACTGGGATGTGGTGGACTCCGTCAATCCTTTCATACTTAGGTGGGTGGGTGAGACTCTGGAAAGGGGGTGTTTTCCCTTTATGCCATCTGCGGGGCAGGGATGAGATGGCCCCAGCCATCTGAGTGACCCTGCCTCAAGTGTGTTTGGAGGCTCCTGAATCACAGGGTCCTGCAGGAGGATGTGGAGTCATTGGGTATTTCTCTTCCTTCTCTACAGCTGTCGGCTCATCTGTCCAACATTGCAGCGGCTGCTGCTGCAGTAACCAGCCTTAGTGGAACAAGGTGGTGAAGAGTGGGGCAAAGCCCCCCGGTGCCTTGTGAGGCCTTGGCCAGAAGGAAGACAGGGAAACTGCCAGGGCCTTCAGTAGGATGGAGACGGGGATGGAAAAAAGACATATGAATATACTTAAGCTTACAGGCTCTGCAGAGTTGTTGCTGTTGCTCACACACGAGGCCAGACCTGTCATTTAAAGTGCACTTACAATCAGAAAAATGTGTCTGAACAAATGCCAGCTGGGCACGCCATGTCGTCCATTCTCAGGAGATGATTTCCAAATCAAATTTGCTCAGAGGACCCAACTGGCCTAACAGCAGTAGGGCTGGACTTCAGAGTGGGGCTGGCTCTTTGCTCAGCGAGGAAACCTGCCCCAGTATCAAAGGTGTCAGAGACAACTCATCAGCATCACAAAATGGAAAAGCAAATGCATGCTTCAATTCAGCCAGCCCTCAGCCCAGGCATCTTCCCTGACTTCAGCCTGCAAATCGCCTGTTAAAAACCGAAGTGGTTTGAGCGTTAATGTAAGGCATGGATGAAAAGCCAAATAGATTCTGCTCTCCTCAGTCAATCAAGACGTTCCTCCTGCTTCCATTGAGGGGTGAGAAATCTGCTTCCTTGGCGGCATGGATGTGGGAACACGCCGTGCTGGGTCGAGACCAGGGCCAACCGTTTCCTCTAGCCATGGCCAATACACCCGGCTCCCATGGAAGGCAACATGCCTGGCCAACTGCACCATGGGCTGGGCTCCTAGGGCAAGTCAGCTCTGAGCACACGACCAGAGCTCTTACTGCAAGGGGCCAAGCCTTTAACTGATCCATGAGGAGACGGGCAGGAAATGGAGGAGGTGTCTCCTTCACCCCCCTTCCCACCACACATGCCCAGCCTGGGTCCTGAGCAGTGCCTGGAGGTGGGGGGCAGGCTGGGCTGGGCACTGCTCCTCCTGCCTGGAGTGGGGATCGGCTGGGGGGGGGTGAGGGGAGCGCGCCGCTGTGAGCGCAGGCTGCTCGCACGTGTGTGTGCGTGCAAGTGTGCGTGTGCACTTGGCACTCCCCTGACCCTGGCATCCTGGGCGGTCAGCCACAGGAAGCTTTTCCCTTCTCTCCTGACCTCCAAAGATGAAGCAACAGCCAGACAGCCCTCTCCACCACACTTTCTGGATTAGTCCATCCGGGGAAACACAGAAAGATGGGGACGGGAATGGGGATAATTAAGGGTATAAGGAAAGAGACACTCAGTGCACAGGAAAGAACGCAGGAAAAAATCTATCCCCCGAACGCGATCTCTGCAGCTGGAGACAGGGATCCACTCCCTGCAATGTTAGCCATGACTGCCACATCCCTCCACAGACTGCAGCCAGGAGGGACCAGGACAGGAGCGGCCGTGGACTCTGCTCTGTTAAGTCAGTCAATAGGAAGAGAGAAATCATCCATTTTGCTTTTCTCTTAATCCCTGGATCTCTTCTCAGCTGTTTTGCCACTCCTCCTTGTCGTCACTCCCACAACCCCCTCCCCACCTCCCTTTCTTTTCTCTCGCCTGCCGCATGCCCAGGCCCCCTATTCATCCGCAGCCCTATTCCCGCTCTTCTTCCCTATTCCTGTTCCTCACCGCCTACCTACCCACCCACCCACTCTCTCTCACCTTTCCCGTCGCTCTGGTTCATACCAATACCTTTCTCTCCTGACTCTTTGTGCCCTCCTGTTCCTTCACATCTCTCTCTCTGTCTCTGCGTGCATCCCACACACACGGATGTGATCCACAAAGAGGTTTCACAACCTGCAGATTAGGCTTTCCTGGGAATGACCCAGCAGTGGGTTAGATTCCCCTTTCTTCAGGCACGTGCTTCTATCGAAGCCAATAGCCCCATGCACACACAAACCTAAGGCTTCAGGGCCAACAGGGGCAGAAAGCCCAGAGCATTTGCAGGCCGAGGTGCCGCATATGCAGTGAGGCTTCTTACAAGGGGAATGTTTCTTAGAGCAGCTGCTACAGCAGAAAGTTTCCTGACTTTCGAGGCCTTTACAGCTGAAACGCCAGGCTCCTTTCCCCTGTTAAATATTTATACATGTATGTGAATGAAGCAGCTGATCAGCAGAGGAGAAGGGGCTTGCATGCCGTTCAAGGGAAGGGGAGCTCAAGGCAATGCTGCCAACGAGGCAATGCTCTGAACACATGCCAGTCCCCTCAGCCGTGTATTAATAAATCATATTTTACAGCTTATGGCACATAAGCCCGGCAAGCAGACGTGCACACACACACGCATACATGCACTTGTTAACACTGCCTCCTCTCCCTTCCGACTGCAAATTTTCTCCTAATCGCCTGGGGTTCTGGAAACCAATTTCCTTACAGCAGGACCCAGGTTTCACAGGTGACGGCTCAGAGACAGATGGTGCTTGTGCAGGGAGCTTCGGGACAGCGTTAAAACTGTGGTGCATCAGGTGACACTCCGCACCTCCACATGTGTTGCCAGAGAGACTGTTTTGCCCGCATGCACGTATGTGCAGCAGTGGCCCCTGTGCTATTGCAGAAGCAGGCCTTCGCTGGGGACGAGTGTAGCCCCAAGCAGCTCAGCATGTAGTAAATAATCATCACAGGGCCCAGCAGAAACACTTGCTCCTCACAGCCCCTTCACGTGCTCGTCGGCAGTCCCTCGGAGTCGAGGATGATGTCCGTCAGGCTAGGTAAGCGTGCTAGGTAAGCACTATCATACCTGCTTTGCAGGCAAGGGAATCGAAAACAGCAGGGTCAAGTGATTTGTCGGAGGCTTCTCAACACATCTGTGTCAGCCAGGAAGGGAAATTCCTCATTCCTGTTCCCAGCCCTTCACTAGATGACGCCTCTCTCTCTGCCATTTAGGTTGGACAAGTTTGCAACTGGCTGGCTTGCAGTCGAATATTCCTATGGCCTCATAAGAAAATCAGAGTAACTAAGGTTCCCAGAGGTCACTGTTTCATGCAGAGCTAACTGTCGCTTGCTTTCAAGAGCCTCCCCTCCCAACCAGGAGGTTTCTTTTCCTGCCTGAGCAGAGTGGCTGCTGCAAGAGCACTAACATGCAAGAGCACTAGACATGTCGCCTGCAGGAGAGACGGCTGTACCACTGAAGTGCCCTCTAGCCAGGAGCTCCCTTCACCAGAAATGTCTAATAGACCCAAGTGCCTCCTTGGATGTTGATGTACAAGTCTGTTTGAGGAGGGACAGAGGGTATAATTGATTGGAGTGCTAGTTTATTAAACCTTGTTGAACAAACCAACTTCATTGGAAACACATGGCACAAAGCAGCAATTCATCTCAATGTCTCTCCCCCCCGCTGAAAGAGCCTCTGAAGATTGGTAATTCTTCCAACCCAACTTATTAGCTGTTCACCCTCGGGAGGCAACTTTTCAGTGGGCAGGAGCTCTTTCCCTTGTCAGTCTCCAGCACGGCTTCTCACATCACCTCTGTTTTGCTAAGATAGTGGGTTTATTGTAAACTTATTAATTACTTCATTTCTCCTGCGAGGAGCTGGGGGAAAGATTTCCAGAAGCAGCCAGGCTCCGCTATTGTGCTGGTGGAGAAGTCGAGTGTGGCTGACGTCATGATTCATTTTCTCCATGACTGATGAAGGCGACTCTCAGTGCCACGTCGCGCATATGAATCAGGCAGCGCTCCCCTGGCACAGGATGCCAGGCAATCCATCTTCAGCCATGACTTCTTCGAGCAGCAGAGAAAATGGCAAACTTTTGCTAATGGCTTTCACTCAAGCTGCTTCAATAACTTCCTGCAAGTGTGGGGATGGGGAGAGACCAGGGATGGGAGAACTGAGACCTCTCTGCAGGGGTGAATGCTTCTACCATTTATGATAAGCTGGAGCTGGGGCAACCAGTTTTTCCTTCCTGGGTCCTATGCTTACATTGTTGCTTGTGATGCCTCTGGCTTGGAAAGACCAGGACCATGGTTATCATAGTTTTCCTCCAAGCTATTTTTGCTATATTGTTTCTGCTGAGAATGAAGGAGTTATTGCCCTCCCTCTGGGTGGTGAAGCAATTTTTAATGCGATTGCAAGTGGAAGCCATTGCACTGACAGTAACATCTATTGAGTACTGGAAGTAGAGGGTGAAAGAACGCCCCAACCAGCTCTTTCTACCCAAACACCACTGGGTCATTATCATACTTACACCTGTGACGCCATAGCTGCAGCAGAAGAGTTGTGGGCAAGAGCAGGGCACTGAAGTTGGTGAGCCAAGTGGTCCTTTCCAGCCCCTTGGGCACAATGCAAATGAAAGAATTGCACACCCAGGCAGGGTGGTAACACTTTATTCATAAAAAGGAAATCAAGTGACAGATCCCTATTGCAGTACAAAACATCCACATTCATAAAATGATCCATCCACAGCAGTCAGGAGAGCAAATGTGAGGATACTGGGGAAAGAAGGATTGCACACAGCAACACAAGTAGGTACCAGCGGACTAAATAGCATTGCAGTAAATTTTGAAGAGAGCTTCCATTGCCTGCTCCTTTTCCTGCATTTTGAAGATAACTAGGCACCCTTGAGTCCAAGCAAGAAAGATGTCATGGGAGTACATTTCTTGAGCTCTGCACAGGGATGGGGCTCATAGGAAGTCTATTTACATTTGTACTTTACCTGCCGAATTGTGATGACTGAGGGACTGTAGCTAAGGAAGTCTGTGGTCCTGAATCCCATTACATTCTGCTGTCTTCTTCATCTCAATCCCTACTGAGCAGCAGGACTGGGCAGTATCTAAGAAGACTCTGCAACCCATGGCTCCAGTGCCCCCAGTCCTGAACCTCCATCAGTGGGTAGTAAATCTGTAATTGTGAGGAGCAGGAAGCTGTCAGCTCTCCCAAAGCTCACATTCATCTGTTCTCTCTCTGAAGTGCCTGATACTCAACGAAGCTGAGACCTAAGTTAGTGGGACCCTCATAGAAGAAGCTGGGACTCAAGGAGCTGTGAGCTCCCCAAAACTAACTCTCCCATGTGTCCCTGTAACAGCTCCTGTTGAGACCTAAAAGGCTGATGAATTCATAAAAGGGCTTGTTCATAAAGGGAGAGGGGTCAGCTGGAAAAAGGGAAACGTGGGATGGAGCGACACTTGCCTTTGACTACCAGTACGTCTCTGGTAAGGTGGCAGCTTTCAGAGACTCTAGAGGAGGCAGACTGGGTTATTAAAGCCAACATAAAAAAAAACAGTCTTTGGGGTTGGACCCAGTACTGTCAAAGGGCATCTGGACCTTGGGCTATAGGTGATGGAAAGAGGAACTCCAGCTCAGGAGAAAGCAGAAAATAACTCTTGGTTGTTTCCTCAAACCATCATAAGAAGTGTTTGGGGAAGGTGAGGGAGGGGACTTCAACAGAAATGAGAAGAGCCCAGCGCAACAGAAGGCGAAACATGAAAGCGTTTGGTTTGGTTAGCTCACAAATCCCTGCGGTGCGAGGCCAGTCGTATTTGATTGTGATCCACATGTGTAGGGCACAAGGCTAAATGGCTCTGGACCAGCCCGGCTTATGCCATGGTTTGACGGCTAAACAGGTCTAGGGTTACAGCGCTGAGGAAGGCTGGGATGCTGTCCTGGTGCAGCAGGTGGAGGTCGATGAGTTCCCGGACAGTGCGAGAGAATTCAGTTTCCAGAAGCTGCATCTTCCCGCCGGAGGAGCTGGAGGCCTGGGGGAGAAGGAAAAGGCAGAGGGAAGAGAAATGAGAGGAAAGAAATTGTTAATCCAGCAGAGTTTCATTCCACTCCTCACAATGCTGGAAAATCCCAGTGCCCTTGCTCTGGAGTTTTCTTCACTGTGTATCTTATTCTAATCAAGGCAACGTTATCTACTGCAGAGCAGGTGTTCAACACACGATTTAATTGGACCATTATTAAGTTCTGCATTTCCAAAACCTCAGAACAATACCCCCTGTGTGAGCCTCCAGTGAATAATTAATTATAAGGCAGTAGGAAGAACGTTTCGAACATCTTGAAAACAAACTTGAAAGGGGCTGCACTATTAACACATGCAGCCACAGCAGAAAGTGCAGAAGCAGAGATCTTTGGGCAGAGGAATCTATCACTAGCTTGGGCAGAGGTAGCAGGGAACATGAAGAGCTGGCATTTCACTCAAGATGGAAGCATTTTAACCTTAAGTCTCTGCGCTCCGGGAGGAGTTAGGGAGAGGGTCTCGATGAACCTGACACCTTTAACAGAGCTGATGATCCGTCTTTACTCCACCCTGCCGCACCTTAAGTTCTCTAGGTCTTTTACCAGCCCGGCTGCTCATACAAGAATCCTTCCTGAGACGTGCGCATGGAAATGTGGAATCCCGACACGCGGGCAAATGCTTAAAGCCTCCTCTCATCACATGGTAAGCAGTTATGAAAAAGGCAAAGCAGCACAATGCGGAAGGAGATGCACCCTGCTTGGAGCTTCCTACGTATGTGCCTGCTGTCCCTGTTTTTCTGCTGTTTTATTGATAAAACAGAAAAGACTACCACCACCGAATACTTTCTCTTCAGCTGCTTCCCCTTTGTAATGACGCTGACCTCACCTCAGCCCTTTAACAGCACTCCACGATGGGGAACGAGATGTCGAGCCCAGCAAAGCATGATGGAGCCCGAGTCCAGCCTGCCTCAGTAATAGGGTGCTTCACATAGGGACTCCGCAGGTGAAGGGAAACCTGATCCTTAGCGGGATCGCTCTCTCCGAAAAAGCACATACATGGAGTGAACCGTGGGGATTGCTATGTGGAGGGACTTTATATATGCAGAGAGAAGGACAGCATTAATCACAGAGTCACAGAAAAGTAGGGCTGGAGGTACTGTAGTCCAACCCCCTGCTAAAGGCAGGATCACACCTGTCTAAACCATCCAATATAAGCCTTTGTCTAACTTAGTCTTAAAAAACTTTGCAAACAATCCTCTTGTACAACAATCAGGCACAATGCCCAAAATGTCAAAAACACCCTATCTTGCCACAGATAAAGCAGGGGGATAAAGGCGCTGTCAATACGCTGCCACTGTAAGGACAGGAGCAGCTGTTAAAGAGATCCAAGAAAGAGGACCACGTCAGTGAAGCAGACCAAAAAGGGCCCCGGGGATGTGTTTGCTTCCAGTGTCGTGTTTTCAGGAGTCTGGAGTTGTTTCGTGATGAACTTCTCATGTATATGTCACTTCTGATAATGGAGAGTGCGCTAATGCCAAGGAGGAAATTTAAACAAGATTTTGTAGTGGTGGAAACACGAATCAAGAGTTTGTCTAAATCTCCTCTGCTTCATCTCAGTTTAAACTGGGTTCATCTCCCTTTCTGAGCTGCTCCACAGGGTGGAGATTTTGATAGTGGAGCCGGCCGACTTGCATCCAGGGCACAGCTGTGTCAGATAGCGACAAACTGAACAGACTGACAGGGAAAGGGAGAGAAATAACAAATGGCCGGGAGACAGGTAACTGGGTCAGAGGGATATAAATCGGCAACCTATGGGAAAGACCAGGCACAACATGGAGCTCTCATGCAAACTCGATTCAGACCACGGGCCAGAAATGGGCCACGGATGCCACATTTTGGTTTCACAAACCTAACCTCCTGGGTGGTTTGAATGCAGGTCTACTCCATCAGCAACATTAAAAGTTCAGGGCGTGGAGAGGAAGGTCCAGATATTAAGGCACCGCTAGCTGTGCCCCCCATAGTTAAGACTGACTTTGGTACTCCAGGCAGGGATTCAGTCTCTTTGTTACGTATGAAAAATATAGTCTATCCTCCCAAATAATCACAGCACTTAGTAACCGAGCATGGTATTAATCTTACATGTAGACCCATTAATTGGTCTCGGAGTTAAATTAATTAGAAGTTCTCTAAAAAGTTCAGCACCCAGTTTCAACCCATTTACTTGTCCCGTGTGGCATGGCTGCACTAGAAGAATGACACAAATGCTTCAAAAAAATTCCCATCTACTTAAAACCCACTGACATCTCATGGGCAGGCTATATTTGAATAATTTCTTCCTCTTCGAGAATTAATGGTCATTTCCTTCCATCATTCTTCATAACTGAAAGTTCCTCCTGCAGCAGAGGCTAAAGAATACTGTTCTGATGCAAAATAAAATTGAGCAGAAGTGTGCTCCTTTGAAATGGCTGTCATCTCCCATTGTTTTTAACAGAACTATGGATTCCTCTCTGCCTCCTGACAGCATAAGGCGGCATCATTTTCTCAGGTTGTCATCATTTTTACTGGGAGCAGCAGGCAATAGCATCCACTTTTAAAGGCTCCCTCTTAACAAGGGGCAGTTTATGCCCTCGGTGCGACTGACAATGAAAGAGGGCAGCATAGCCGTTTTGGAAGAAGGGACTTCTCCGCATACTTCTCTAAAGTGGAAAATTTTCTGAACTGACCTCTGATGACAGCTAAACTTTCAGTCCAGCTCATTTTGCTTCTCAACCACTTCTAAAAACACCTAAAAGCTTTTTTCCGCGCCCCCCCGGAGGCATTTGAAAATTGCTATCGCTGCGACTGTTTTATTATTTTTTTTCCTGGTTTTGTTTCCCATCTGTTGGTAATTTGGTGGAAGCTGGGATATTTGTTTTTCCTTAATTAATGAGAAATTGTTTTATGACTGCTCTTTACCACCCTGAGCAGTTTTGTGGAAGGGAGCACTTTACATACAAAATGATCATCACAATTATGAAAAATAATGGCAATAAATTACAATTAAACCTACAGATTTCTGTTTCAAAGTGAGGCTTTGCACCGTAGCTATGACATGCAGCGCAGCGGGAAGAGAGCAGGGTGGGCCTCCTGGGAAATGTCAGGAGAGCGGAGGAGGGTACGTGACTTCGGAGCAGGAGCAAGGGAAGAGTTGGGGAAGGAGCTGCTGCTACTTTTGAGTGGCATAAACCTGCCAGGGTACACCTGCACGTTCTGCCTGAAGTTGGAATTAAGCTAAAATAATAATAATAATAATACATAGTTTGTATCTCGGTCATTAGAGATACCACGTGTCACATTCACATTGCATTTCTTGTTAGGATTCAGATGTGCAACTCGTAAAAAAATATACCAACTCCCCCTCCCTGTGCCCCCCACCCCACAAATATAAAATATAATACAAAAAATATATTAGAATATGTCAATTATATCAACAATTTTTAATCAAATATATTACAAGGATGAAGTGATTCCAAATCTAAGAATGTTAATTAGGGCAAATTTAAAGCCCCCTCCCCATGCATGTTAAGGCCTGAACATTCAAAATTGGGGCACCTGTGGTCTTTGTAGTGCCTTCAGAGCAGGAGTGAGCACGTTTGGTCCTCTTTGTGGTGACACCCGGGGATGGGATCTAGTTTATCTTTATATATCACTGCAATCTACTCTGGGGCCAAAACCAGACAAATGTCTTATTCAGACGAGATGGTCACTGCACACTGATTGCCACTTTTGACATGTTGCGTGAGATAAAGCAGCAATTATTTAGAACAAGGACTGTAGAGATGGGTCAACGATAACATCTAAATGATGGCCCTACTTTTGCCCCTTGAGCAATCCAAAGTGGTTTGGGGGTTTCCAAAACAGAGTCCAAGGATGGTTCTGATCTGTATTCTACTTTATTCAAAGCACCAGCACTTTGGGGAAATACTGATTTTTGGTCTGGTTCTCATGCCGCGCCAGTCTGCTCTTAGGATTATGGAGGATCTCTACCCATCAGAAAAACAACTCACATGGAGCAAGACGACTGTGTCTGTGCAGTCACACTTGTCTGCATAAGCCCTGTTACAGATTCCAAAAACACCCCACGCCGTGTGCTTTCAGGCTGCTGGTACCCCATGGAGCAATCACAAAATCAGAACTTGTTTTTTCTGCCCATGTTGTATGCAGCGAACAAAAGGGGTCCGTCTACCATCTGGTGACATGAACTCCCAGCAGTCACTCTTCAATCTCGTCAGAGAGAAGAGCCTTTAGTACAATTGCTTTTCCATAAGAGACAAGATTAGCTGTCTCCAGACAGAAGAAAACATCATAAATCTTCCTTTTAACCCTGGAAATTGGTAAATTATTCAAGGCTTTAGAGTTTTTTTTTATTTTTTATTTTTTGAAGGCACAGACTTACACTACAGATAAAGCCGTGTGTCAGCACTCAGTCCTTCAAGTGAGCTGGGTACCTTGGAACCTGTGTGCCCTTTCCATTTGTTCCACTCTATTTATCTGTCTGTGCAGGAGATGAAGGCTTGAGTGGGATCTAAAACTAATCAGGGAAAGCAAATGCCCAAAAGGTGAGCTGCCCAGCGAGCAAACTGCTAGCTCTATCTCAGCCATGGGATAAAGTTTCTATTTGCCTCACACTGCTCAGCCCATCTCCAGCAAAACATTTCAGTCCATTTCTGTCTTTCCAGCTGCAGATTTATTTTGGGGTCACGAGATGGACAGAGTGGGGTAGGTAGCCCCTGTCATCCCACTGTTCTTGATGACTGCTAAGATGATCAGCGTTGCTACGGGCCTGGAAAAAGAGTGATACCTGTATTTATTCAAGTCTGTGCATGCGCAGACCGGCTGTGAGATTCTCCCTAACAGCCAGCATTGTAGGAAAGCGAAACGTGAGCAGCCCTTACCTCCAGCAGGA